TTCTACATTGGTAACAAAGATAACAATTTGTTTTATTCTCTATTTTTTGTATATTGTTGACATAGAAAATCTTAGTTTTTATTTTTTATTTTTCTATATCGATAATATAGAAAAATAAGAATTAAAACTAACTGATATTTATAATATCAATTAAAATCAATAAGAATTCAAAAATAAGATTTTCTATATTATCGTTATAGAGATATCAAAAATTAAAATTGAGATTTTCTATATTATCAATATAAAAAATCAAAAATAATAAATAAAATTTTCTAAACTGCCAATTTAGAAAAACAAGAAATGAGAATTAAGATTCTTGTATTATTGATATAGAAAATAAAAGCAATAAAACTAACTGTTATGTATATTACCAACATAGAAAAATTAAAATTAAAACTAATTGTTATTTATATTATTAATATATAAAAATGAAAAATAATGAATAGGATTTTATATAATATCAAATATAGAGCAAATGTTGACTGTACTTGTTCTAAATTAAGACTGAAGTTTATGTGCAAAAAAATGAAGCAAAGTAGCTGATCAGACTGATTATTTCCATGTGTATAAGAGATATTTGAGAAGTTTGATTTAATTGAAATAAATCTATAGTATTAATAAGCATTTCATATAGCTCTATGTCATTATCTATAAGTAGAATACAATATTACCTACTAGAGTTTTATGCATCACAATCTCTTTGATTTAAAAAGCAGAAAGTATTGTTTTGTTTCTGACTCTCATCTTCGAGTTGTTTGACACATAATTAAAGGTCTTATACCGTTTTACATGTATTTGTTTTTTGTCGATGGAAGAAAAGAAACAATACTAAAATGTACTTTCTTCCAACTGCACTGAGACATTACACATATTAAAAATACATGACATTACATGTAATAAAAATGAAAATTGATTAAATAGTATTAAATTTAATCAAGATCTCGATTATAGCTAGATTCTTCATAGATAAATTAAAAAGGATGAAATTATTTTCAGGGAGCTTATAAAACTGCATGACATTTTTTATTAACTTCATCGGTTCCGTAACTGTCCATTCAAGATATAATCATAGAAGTATTGTTTCTAGTCTAAAGCTCAAGTCAGTATCAATATAAATCTTTAGAAAATTCTAGACAAACAAAAAAAACTTTCTTCTAAGATTTAACCAGTTCAGAATGCGATACAATAACAATTTGAAGAAGAAATCTTCACACTTATTGCTATTGAGAATAGCTAAAATCATGATGGAATCTTTTACGATCGTTTTTTTTTTGTGAGAATCCTCAAAAATTTATACCTATTGAATAACTTACAAAACAAAAACTTGTAAAGATTTTAGATTAGAGTTTCGATAGGAGATTCGTATTGTCTTGTAAAGAAGTGAAAATACTTAAGTTTAGAAAGTTCGAAATCGATCCGTGATGGAAACTGCTATTGTTTAAAAAAGGGTGTTCCATATCCTATTAAGTTGAAAAATTGTAATACATTAGAAATGAATTCAAAATAAAAGATTTGATTGATTCGTATATAGATTATTGTTTGTGCTACAATGCAGAATAATGAACATGACAGATTCTTCAAATATCCGTGAAC